ACAGGGAGAGAACAGGTGGGGCAGGAAGGGCGCACAGGGGTGAAGGAAGGAAGAACTTGAGAGTGCTTTTAGTGGGCTCCACCTGGAGATGCTCCAGGCACACCAGTGGCCAGAAGCTCACTCCTTACCTAGTGCACACAGAGTGGTGAGACTCTTGCATGGTTCTGGGACGTGAACTACTCGAATTGTTATCCAATCTTAAGAAGTGACTTTCTGTTACTCCATATTTCTATTAAAAATCTTCATGGCCCAGGGCTCTTATGAAGTTCCCACAATCTCTAGATCTCTGCTATACTTAGAATCTAAAATACACAGCTCCCGAGGCCCATGTGTTAAAGATTGGGTCCACACCTGGCTTGTGTTATGAGGGGGGACCTGGTAGGAGATCTTCTGATTGTTAAGGGAACATCTTAAAAGTGGGTATTGGGACCTCAGCTCCTAAAGCTGAAATATATATATTCCTCCTTGGCCATGAGATGAACAGCTCTGCACCATGTGCCTCTGCATGATTTAGTGCCTCATCATAGGCCCAGAGCAGCAAGACCAACCCATCATCATGAGGTGAAACCTGGAAAACTGAGCCAAGATGAACCTGTTTCCTCAGTTTGGTTTTCTTGGCTATTTGTTACAGTAATGCAAAGCTGACTAGACTAATTGTCATCCAAATGGATGGAGAGATGCTGTGCAAAGTAAACCTGATGGACTGCAGAGAGTGGCCCCAGTCCCTTATCACCGTCCTGCAGCTGTTTTTCCTGGCACCAGAGAAGACACAGCTGTGCCGCCTGTCTCCTTCCACACCTCATCCACGTGACTGGCTCTGAGTCCAGAGGCTTGCCTGCTCCTTTTTGACCCTCAAATGTTGTCCTGTTCTACACCAGCCCTCCTATCTAAATACAGAAGCACTTCTCAGCAAAACCGATCCTTAGTACTTTGAATTCTTATCTTAGTCCTTTCAGCCTATAAAGCACAGAAATTTTCTCTCAAGGTTCTAGAAGCTTAAAAAAAAAAAAAAAACCAGCTAAAATTAATGCGCCAGTGGAGATCCAGCTCATTGTGCCAGCTCTAGAGGCCAGAGAGTGGGGAGAACCACAGCGTTACAGTGAAAACACGTGTCAGGGTTAAACACAGTGGAGTCAGGAGCACCGAGAAAGGTACACAGGAGGCCGCAAAGCTCTCCGAGTGCTGGCCACCACGTAGACAGAGGGGCCAACGGGGTCAGAGGGGTTCCCGTAAGGATGGTGAGAGCAGCTGAGGGTTGCCCCTGGAGGGTGAGTAAAAAGGTTCAAAGAGATGCTCCTAAATGTGTGTGTATGAGAGAGAGACAGAGACAGAGAGAGAACACCCTGCTTGCTGTTGAGGTGCTGGCCCAGCAGGACTGCTTGGTCACTGAATCCCCGGTACCTCCATCTCCTCCCACAGAAGTGGGATGAGGAGATACATGGGCACGGGGAGGGTTGAAGAGGTCTGAAATCCAGCGTGACCACAATGTGGTGGAGGTGGTAGAGAAGACTATGGGATGTGCTATGATCAGGAAGATGAAGCTGGGCAGTAGTGAGAGGGGCTAGGGGACAAAGGTTGCCTCATACACAATCTACCATGGCCCTGAGCAGTACACGGAGCTCTCTGGGTGTCTGCCGCCATGGTGTGGACAGAGGCCAAAAGGGGCGCAGGTAACAGTTGTGAGAGGGGGGCCTTGGAGAGTGAGTCTGAAGGTCCAACAGTCCTAGACAAAACCTGCTTTATTTTTTCATTCAGAGAATAATACACACTCATTACATACAACATGGAGTAGAGGCATGAACGGCACTGAAGCCGGGTTTGTGTAGTATTTGGAGTGTTTCTGCTGCCTTCCTCCTCTCTAAAGGGACTTAGGGGTAAAAACAGAGCTCTCTATAGCCCATTGTCCTCCAATACTTTTCACAGGGTTCTCACAGTCTTCTCTGATGCCTCAACTACAATCCCAGCACGCAGCCACTCTGCAGCCCGGCCACATTTGATGGGACCTTTAAACACACTTTTCTACTTGAAACTAATACAATTTTTTATACATTCAAAATTATGAATGGGATTTTTGGATAACATATGGCCAATGCTCACTAATCCTTAATATTTGCACTCTGTGGGCCTCCTGTCCCAGCTCCAGGAAGAATGCCAGGGCCACAGTGGCTAAAGATTTAGGAAACCAGTGAACCAGGCTGACCCTTCCAGAGTCTACTTGTGGGACCTAAAGGTTCTCCCACCTTCTCTTTGGTCTAGAAGCAAAGGGTCAGGCTGAGCATACCCAGGCCATGGGAGCCTGTGTCTATGAAGCAGAGATCTCTTGCCAACTCACAGACTTGAATAAAATATTAATCTTCACCATGCTGTCTCAGTTTCTTGCCATTACTGTGGGAGAGCCAACCAAATAAAATAACATGAACATGCTATTGCCCTATCTCATGAATAAATTGAGGCCCCTGTGGATCTCTTCCTCCTTTGTGGCCCACCATTATTTCAAATTTTGTGATTATAATTCCTTCAGTTTACCTATGAGTTTACTAAGCTTTGCTCTGTCCTGTTTTCCATTTTGAACTTTATAATCAATATTTTTTTTTCCGATTTGTTTGGCTCACGTTACTTTTTCTTTATTGTGACTACTATTGTGCGGTGTAATTCTCATTCTCTTTATGAACACCTATATTTTGTAATAAAATATGAGAAACAAGTTGCTAGATCAAAGTTTGAGTACTCATTTGGGGGCTTTTGCTATCATGTTCAGCGTTCGTGTACTAATTTTTCCCATCAGGCTTTGCCAGCTTTGCTTCTGTGTTATGCACAATTATACATGGAAACCATTGTAGCCATAATAATGTAGCATTGTGAGGAATAATTTTGAATGAATTATAGGATCACCATAATTATGAGACATATTGATTTAGCCAGGTATGATTGCCAATGTGAGAGGTAAAAGAAGCCCTATGTGTGTTCCTTTGTGACATGGGTCTCTTAGTACTTGTGGGCACCACCTTCTTGAAAAGGTTTGGCAAATCAAGATTGGCAAGATGATAATGTCATAAGAAGCATCATGTTTCATATCTAAGATGTTCTCTAGAGGCCATATGGTAAAAGCATAAGAGCAAAATGGACTTCTGGGAAGTGATTAGATCCTGTGGGTTCCAACATTATCAGTGGGTTTTCTTTCTATTGATGGGTTTATAATTAATGACTACTGGATGGTGGTTAAAAACCATAGAATGTAGCACCTAGTGGGAGAAGATGTTGTCCTTGTCCCCCCCACCGCACCCCCGCTTCCTGGCTGCCATCTTTGCTCAGTCACACGTCAGTGCTCTGTCACATCTTTGCTCCTAATGCCATGATGCTCTTCTTCACCGTAGGCCTATAGCAATGGGGTCAGCCAATCATGCACTGAAACTTCATGAAGTTATGAGCCAAATAAACTTTGTTTCTCTGAAATTGTTTCTTTGCCACAGTGATGGAAAACTGACTAACATATAAGGGTTAGAGAATATGTGAAATATATACATATATGAAACATAGCATTAAGTACATACATGTGAGTGCATTTCAGGTGGAAGCATCAGTGTCCAGGGTCAGCCCCACAGCACTCACTCCTTGATTTTGAGGCCATGCAGATGCCACCAGTCAAGAGTTTGAGCCAACCTCAGACCCAAGTGATATCATAGTACTCACCATATTTCAAGCCTTACTCTTTGTGGTAGTTTGAATGAGAATGGCCCCTTATAGACTCATATATTTGAATGTTTGGTACTCAGTTGGTAGAACTGTTTGGAAAGGATTAGGCCTTGTTGGAGGAGGTGTGTCACTAGTGATGGGCTTTGGAGTTTCAAAAGTCCACACCATTTCTAGTCAGCTCTCTCTTGCTTGTGTCTGTGGATCAGTGTATAACATCTCGGCTAGTGCTAGAGTGTAGCACAAATCTTAAAAGTTCTTATTAATAAAAACAAACCCAGAGCCAGGTATTGGGGTGAACACTGAATGATCAGTGAAACAGAACAAGCCACGGCCACCTCACCTCGCCAATTCCTCAGCTGATCCTGTTTCCTCAGACTGGAAGCCTCTGAGTCCTCATCCAGAATGAATCTCATCTGAACTGTTGCTCGAAAGCCTAAAAGCTTAACCAGCTCTAGTTCCTGGTTTTCACCCCTTAAATACCTTTCTGCTTTCTGCCATCACTTCCTGGGATTAAAGGCATGAGTCACCATGCCTAGCTGTTTCCAGTGGGCCTTTGAACTCACAGAGATCCAGATGGATCTCTGCCTCCAGAAGGCTAGGATTAAAGGTGTGTGTGTCACCATTTTCTAGCCTCTATGTCTGTCTAGTGGCTGTTCTGTTCTGACCCCAGATAAATTTATTAGGGTGCACAATATATTGGGGAACACAATATTACCACACTAGAGCACTATGCTTACCTGCATGCCTGCCTGCTGTCCTTCTCCCTGCCATAATGGTCATGGATTCTAACCCCTGGGAACCATGCACACCAAATTACATGTTTTATTTTATCCTTGACCACGGTGGTTTTTCAGAGCAATAGAAAAGTAGCTAAGACACTTATAATTCATTTAAAGCAGACCCGCACCCTGCTCTATACTACCCTTCTTAAATGCTTCCTTATCTGAATCATGCAGCAACTCAATGGTCACCTGGTATATCCAACCCCTCACTCCTAACCCCAGTCTTGCCTTTTACATAATCAGGAAAAGCCATATATATTAATTTCCCCAGTCCTATGGTGGGAGAAGGTGATGTGACAAATTCTGGCTAGGAAACATTCCTCTAGGGGTTTCTGGGAAAGATTTGTCTTTCTCATGAGTAGGACTGAAATCGCTGGTATTGCCACATACCTAGTCACATCATTTTGATCATTATAACTACAAAAGCTAGACTGTGACCAAGAGGTAAAGACCAAGATAGCCACAGAATTACCCACTTCCACACTGTTGAACTGAGACAGAAATGAAATATGAAGATTCCATAAATCATCACCACAAAACTGTCTTTTATTAACAAAACCAAAGAACCCCAAACACTTTGTGGACATTAACTTTTTCCCTCCAGATTTCAAAATGGTATTCTGTGTGTACATTATTTTTAAATTTTCAACACATTTAGAAGAATACAGTTGTTGACATGAAATAGGCCTGGAAACAAAAGTGAGATGTTCTTAAATTTGATTTCAAACCTTTATAACTCTCAAATGGTCTTACGTGACCCCTCAATCCTGGCCCACGCACCATTTCTCCTTTGCCTCATGGGATGGGGGCTGCAGATTTTGTAGTACAGCAGCTCATGCAGTGGGTCTGAGGAAGGAAGTCCATGCAGACCCGCTAAGATGCACGTCTGTTGATACACAGTGGTGAGCAGGAAGGTGGCAATCCACCAGTCTGAAAGGAAATCTGTCAGCAAAACCTTCCCCATTCATCCTATGGGAATTTTGTTTGTCCCTCAGCATGTTGGTCAGAAAGAGACGAGCATTTGTCACACAGGTATGAGTGAACATAAGGGGGCAGTCTCCACTGCTACTGCTGCCCAGGGCCCTTGGCCAAAGCCAGAGCCCTACCAGCTGCCACCTGGAGTCAGAAAAGGGCTTCCTGCACAGCCCCAGGAGCTGCCTTCAAGAAATAACAATCAGGATCTCAAAGATTAGCTCTGCCGTGTGTTATTTTTGATAAAATGGGCAAGAGGATGAAAAATGTACGGTTCAGATGAGACCAGACAACACATGAGGTCTACAGAATGTTCTGCAGAATGGCTTCCCTTTAGCCTGTTTGGGATGGTTTGCCCTGCCTTCAGGTAATGAGGTGTTGGACAGCCCTGAGAAGCCCGCTATCAGGCTCAGGAAGTGAGTTAAAGGATAATCTTGGGGATTTATACACATAGAAGTAATCAACCCAAGGTGAAAGAGAATAGTCATGACTCAGAATCAAGAGTACCTGTAATGAAGAGACTTATGAGGCATCACTTAGAAACTGAAGGCCAGATGTTTAGGGTACCCCACAAGCAAGGTTCAACACTCAAAATGATCTATGCACGAAGAAGCCTTCTCTTTCAGACGCCCTCCATTCTTCCTGCTTTATAAGAGGAGTAAAAACTAGGGCTAACACCAAGGAAGTGCTGAGGTCCAGACGATTACACCATTCTGCTTTGTCTCTTATGACAGTATCTCCACAACAAAACACGCTTAGGAAACCTAGCCCACTCGTATCATGAACAACCATCAAACTCGGAAAATTATGTGACAGCATTACTAACCATATGTGATTCCAGCTTAATGTCCTTAAAAATAATTTAAAAAATCACCTAGTTAATAATTGTCTTGGTTAGAATATTTTGTTCCTTATGTGTATAAATTCAGCCTAGAATTTATTTTATCACCTCAATTTGTATGAAAAATAAGGAATGTATTATTTTTAAATTCAGACTTTACCAAAATGTGAAATAAATTTTTGAAGGGATATGGATGGATCCGGCTGGCATTGTATCTACTCTGTTTTATACAGTAATAAGCTATACTGCTAACAGGTGGAGCCTGTTTCAATGTATCTGGGTGGATGTCTGAGAACTGCTAATATTTAGTCACTAGCTGTGCTGACCACAAGACACAAAGAGGGGAGCGGTGTCAACTGTGGCCTCCCAAGCTCTGCAATGCATGCTGACTTGCCCACTTTCCTTCTGGTCCAGGAAACTATCTTTAACTCATGCTCTTCTGAAGACTGCCCACGGAAAATGCTAACGCAGTATTCTCACAGGGTATCTAGATTTGCTAGCTGATGTTTAATAAGAGACATCACACAACTGTTTCTTTGTTGATAGAGATGACACCCTACTTTAGATACTATATACAAAAATGCGTGGCTGTCACCTTAAACACTCACACATGCTCAGCTAAGAGTTCATGTGACGAGTGTGGCTCTTCTATTTAGTCAATTTACATCTACAGACAAGCACCAAGAAACATGCACACTACAGGGAGCCTAGATATGAGGAATTCATACTTCACCATTAAGGGAAACGCTGTCACAAAATGCTGATGATGTGGTTTCTATCACTCATGCTCTAATTTGGGGGTCTTTGCAACAAAAGGGGCTTGTGGAGGTTTTTGCCCTTTTTTTCCCTTCCTTTATTAGGATTTACAGTAGGTTCTGTGTCAGGCACTAATCAGTCAGGTGGCTTTTGGTCCAACGGGTATGTAAGTTGTCTTTTTGCACCTTTTTAATCCTTCTGCAAAAAGCCAAGTTCAAATGCTGGAAACCGTGACGTCTCTGGTACCAAGATATCAGAGAGAAAGTGAACAGCACCAGCCATACCTGCAAAGCAAAATGTGCATCTTTTAAGAACCACACAAGTTACTGATAAAACAAAGTGACATTTAATCCCTTCTGCTACAGGGGCTGTAAGACGGAAAAGTACCATCACCAATTAAAAGTGACATCATTAAAAACAACACCCGACAGGCAATTATACCATCCATTCTCTACTATTGAGTGTGTGTGTGTGTGTGTGTGTGTGTGTGTGTGTGTGTGTGTGTGTATGTGTGTGTGTGTGTGTAATCATGCACCGCCTCTGGCTTCCTCACTGAGTAAGGTTCCTTCAGTTCACATCTTTCTGTGGGTAGAAGTAGTCTCTCCTTCTTGCTCAATAGTGTGTCCTTATTTTGCTACTGAAGAACATTTAGGTTGGTCCCAGCTTTCTCTATAAGTTTTTTGTTTGTTTGTTTGTTTGTTTGTTTGTTTGTTTTTTGATGAAAGGGTTCTAGAAGCTGATTTTAAAGAATAAAAAGAACATGGACCTATTAGAACCCATTAGAAACAAAAAGTGGCCCGTGGTGCCTTTGAGAGGACCCTAGAAAAGCCACTGGTGGAGTGAGTGCTCCAGGAGGGCAGCAGATACAGCCCAGTGTTGTCTCTGGGTCGTACTGTCTGTTGGACTCCCAGATAAGAACTTGGTTATTGCTAGTTCTGTCTGCCATGCATTGGTGAGGCAGAGGGCAAACAACACCTGTTGATTTCCTAGCCACAGGGGAGCTGCTAGGTTCAAACGTGGAACTTTGATCCAATGAGCAAAGCTGCTATTTTAAACTTGAATGTATAAGCATCAGTGGCCTCCACTTTAGAGTCTAGATATTGACTCCTGTTGTCTGATGTAAATGCAACTCATGTTTATTTTTTTTTCTGCAGCAGGGCTTCAATACAGATCCCAGGCCAGACTCCTAATCATGATCTAATGCTTTAGCCAACAGTATGATGAGATTACAGGCAGGGACCACCATGCCTGCCACAGGATTTTATTATATAAACAATTAAAGTTTTTATTCTGGGAAATATTTTTCCTTATTACTTCAACTGATACAGAAAAAGCATTGATAGAATCCATTGCCTATGTACTTGACTTGATATAGTTCAATTATTTATTGCTTCTGAAGTTTCCTCTGGGATATAGTTATAAGATGTGGTTTAAAGTTATTATCAATCTATCCTAATGCTATGAAGTCTTTGCAATTTAGTCAAAACATGTGCACATGTGCATGCAAGTACACACACAGACACACACACACACACACACACACACACACCACTCACAAGATATTTGAGAGCCCAGTGTGGTGGTACACGCCTTTAATCCCAGCACTTGAGAGGCAGAGGCAGATGGACCTCTGTGAGTTTGAGGCCAGCCTGGTCTACTTAGCAAGTTCCAGGGCAGCCAAGGCTACATAGAGACCCTGTCTGAAAAATACCAAACAAACAAACAAAAGGATCTCTAACTTCAATCATAGTTATAATACTTATTAATTATATTACATTCTGTCTTATATATTTATCAAGCTGGGCAGACTTAATTATTGTTGTTTTTAACCAATGGCCTTGTTATAGCCATCAGTACAAATATTGAACTGTCTTCAATATTCACTCATATTTTTCTAATTATTAATATCTAATTACTACTTTCCATTAATATTAGTTACTAGCAATTCTTTATATAATTTAAAGAATTAAGTGTATTTAAATAACTAAGTTTTCTATGAACACATAGAATATATATATATATATTACAGACAAAACGCAGAAGAGAAAACTTATTATCTCCCCCCATCCAGTAAGCCTTCCAGGTTTTGTTTGCTATGTATTTCACAGAAGTTCTATAAATTTTTAAGACATTTGCAGAAGCAAAATGCAGGCAAGATAAACAGTCTTGCTATCATTTTGTTTTAGTTCTGAAGTGTTATTCTAGCAACATTGAATGTACTAATGCTAGTCCTCAGAACAGAGGAACCAGATATTCAAATGTATGGTTTTATTTTTCATATTCTCCTACCTTCAAAGAGGGAATAAGGTCTGTCAGGAATGCGACACCCATGTGCTCCATAATCTAGACACCACTCTGCAAACTGAAAAGAAAAACAATTCTTCTTAAGACAAATGGGACACTTGAATGCTTTTATAAGAATGGAAGAAGGGCTCCAGTGGCTCAGTGGTTAGGAGTATAGGGTGCTCTTCCAGAGGATCCTAGTTCAATTCTAAGCACCCATGTTAGGTGGCTCACAAACACCTGAAACTCCAGCCTTACTGGGAACTGACTCCTCTGGCCTCTTTGGGCACCTGGACTTACATGCACATTCCTACGTACACAAAGACACACAGTTAAAAATTAATAAAAATAAACACTGAAAAACTAGTTAAAGAGGCCGGTTTGGGCAGTAGTGATTCCAGGGCTCCCGACTGTACTGTCTGACCAAACCCCTAGCAGGATGAGAGCTGGGGACCTCTCCTTGCTTGTTTCAGCTTCTGAAGGTCACATTACCTTCAAACATTGCAGGGACACCCAGAGGAGAAAAGCACAACTCAACAGCACGCCCCTGTTCCTTCCAAGTGCCTCCTCCATCTGAATCAAAATCCCTGCTCTGAACCTGCCTTCAGACTTGGCCGCTGGCTCCCCCTGCTCTCAGTTACTTCTGAAGAACATGCTCAGTGGGATGCTTTTTCCTCTCTTTACTGTCTTTTAAACTGTTGCTGGAACAATTCTCCATTGTGGAAATACCTCAGCCCTTAGCTCTCTACTCTACGGGTTTTACATCCTAAATAAGTTAACGCCTTCCTTTTTATATCACAGATGTTGCCTTGGTGTATAACTCATCACTTCCCCACTAATGATTCAATAAACCCCAGTGTGAGAACCCAAGCTCTTCCTGATTCTTCAAAACCAGACCCAAGGTGACTTTTCTAAAGAGTCTCCACATGGACCCTCCATTTTCCAAATTGGTGTTCAGTGCTGTCTGGTTTTTAAAAATCATCTGTAGGTCCTGAAAAACACTGGTAAGAGGGATTCTTCATTTAAATGATCTGGAGTGGGCCACAGTGATCCTCAGGTGTAATCAAGGTTGAGAACTGCTTTGTGCATATGTGAATTTAAGTCATAACACCCCCTCCCATGGCATCTCACAGCACTGAAACACTTCTTCTCCAAGATACACTAAAATGTTTCCAGACTCTGTGGCTTTGTACTAGCTACTCTAAAAGGAATGCATCCTCTTCCTCAGGCTACTCCCTTCCTAACTGACTTGCAAACTATTATTATTGAAGAAATATGTCTCCCTACTTAGGCAACCATCTAGTATTATACTTACCTCTGCCTCTAGCTCCTGTTCTGCCCTGACCCCATGATCTAGCAACCATGAATTGTGTATCATTTTCTTGGGTGCTTCAACCTCCAGGCCACTGGGCAGGCAGTTTCCGATCTCTACAACATTCCTCAACCCCTTCTGTATAACTTCCAGCTGTCTTCCTGTTTTGGCCTACACACCACTTTCTGATCTCCCATGACTAGATTGGGCTCTGCCCTCTTACATGCTTCTACAGCACCCCAGGATCAAACTATGAATGTGGGCAAATGATAGATAAATGCATCCTCAGGGATTCCAGAATGGGGAGGCCATTTTATTTGGGTTGATAGAAACAAACAAACAAACAAACAAACCTTGTAACGGTAGCAAGTGTTCATTGTCCAAATGGTATAAAAAAAATATGTTACCCATAATGTCTCTTTCTATCAACAACTACTGCAAACATTTTGGTGTATTTTCTTCCA